CCTGTTTCCTTCCTGAGAAGGGCTCCAGTCCTTAAGTACACTGGCTAATGATGATGATTGGGGACCAGTGAAAACACTGCTGAACATAATGAAACAGAAAGTAGAACTAATGACACTGAGACAGAAGGCTGGCATGGTGAAGTACCCCCCCTTTCAAAGGCCGGTACCCGGCGGCCCAAAGAAAATACACCAGACCGGGTTGGGCAGAGGGGGTCCAAGACGAAGAGACAGAGTCCAAACATGAACAGTTCAGGTGGGCGGCCACAGGGAAGGCAGCGGTGGCAACTTAGCAGATCCAGAGGCCGACCACGCCGGCGACAAGGTCCAGTCAGCGGCCTGCAAGGTGGCCGCCAACGTCAAATCAGATGTGGGCGAGGAGGTGGCGTGGGAATTGCCGGACTAGAAGAAACATGACCAGATAGCGACAGGGCAGCTGCAGGCGACGGCGTGGGAGCCAGTGGTGGCGGAGCAGCTGCAGGCGACGATGTGGGAGCTGGCGGTGCAGGGCCAGCAGGGGCGGAAACCTTTGCCTGAAGAACTGAACAAGGGGATGAATGAGTGACTAGGCCAGAGACTGGATAGGAGATTGGGCAACGGGCGACTGAGCTACGAGAGAGTGGACTACAGACCTGACTGACTGGAATACAGGAGACTGGGCGACAGACATAGCCACAGGTGACTGGAGGACAGGAAGAGACTGGGCTACAGGTGACGGGAGGACAGGAGGAGACTGGGCTACAGGTGGTGGGACAGAAGGAGACTGGACTGCAGGTGACAGGACAGGAGGAGATTGAACTGACTGGCTGGAGACTGAGCTACAGGCGTCTGGGGGACGGGAGACTGAGCTACAAGTGACTGTGTTACTGTTGGTGAGGTTAATGGCTGAGCTCATGGTTGTGTTAGAGATGGTGACAGTGCTGCAGCCTGAGATAATAAACCGGGTGCTTGAGCTGGGAATAGGTCTGTTAACTTAACCAGGGATTGAGCTACGGTGTGAAAAGATGGATGAGGAGGTGGATGAAGTGGTAGACTGGCACGTGGAGAGGCTAGCTCTTCCGAGCCTCTAGGGAGGTCAGCCTTGATTCTGGCTGCCCTCACCCCTCTGCGCTGGGACAGGCACAGAAGGTGGCTGAACACCAGTCATCCCCACCCGAGAAACAGGAACGGTTGTGGAGGTAGACTGGGTCACAGCTGCCCTCGTCCTAGGAGCTGGCACAGGAACAGGCAATAGCTGAACATTAACTGCCCTCACCTGAGCAGAATGAACAGGCGAAGGGAATGGCGGACTTTGAGGTGCCTTGCTAACAGGAAAAGGCTGAACTATTGGTGAGGAGATTTTGATTGAGTGGGAGAAATTATCTGATCTAGTGGTGTGAATGTCATTAGTAATGTCCTGGGATAATGAAACAGTCTCTTTGGAAGAGGGGATCAGACTTCTCAGCATCGCTGTGAATGTCTATGCCAGGGCGCTGAAGAGGTTAGTTGAGTCTCAAATAAAGGAAGAACAATGTTGTTTTCAACCTGGTCAGAGAACACTAGACCAGCTCTTTATCCTCCTGAGGATATTTGATGGTAAGTAGAAGTTTGCCATTCGTGTTTTGTGGAATTAAAGAAGGCATTTGACTGCATCCCTTGGAGTATCCTGTGGGGAGTAGCTCAGGTGTATTGAGTGTCTGGCTTGTTGCTACAAGCCATTCATTCCCCATATAACAGTTACATGAACTTGTTCTGCATTGCCAGCAATAAGGTGAACTTGTTCCCAGAGTGGGTCGGACTCCAGCGGCCGTCCTTTTGTCACTTGAATCCTGTTCAGAATTCTTATGCGCAGAATTTCTAGACATAGCCAGATGGCAGAAGGATTCCACTTTGATAGCCTCAGAATTTCATCTCCTCTTTTTGCAGATGATGTTGTTCTGTTGGGGACATCAGGTGGTGGCATCCAGCGCAACCTGGAGGGTTTAGCGTTGAGTTTGAAGCACACTGTGGATGTTGTCACTTACAGAATAATTTCTTGGCACTGATCCCATGAATACCAGTGAATCTGGATTTTTTTTCATTGCAGTAAGTTTCTCATCTGAAGCTGACAGATCAGACCTCCACATGTTTTATTGTTTTTCTTGTAATCTGTTAGCCTTTTTCATATGAACACTGATTCCAGTTTTTTTTTTTTTACTCAAGTCAGAGTGAATGTCTTGGGGAAACCTATATTCAGCACATGTGTTATTTGAGCCCAAGTATATTTAAAAAATATATATTTCCACTTATATTTATATATTTGTTCACTCCTCCACTGCAGCTGAGCCAGGGACCACACCTCTGCCACAATACTCTAATTATAATTTTTTTGTAGAATTTTTTTAAACAGTCATCACTTCCATGGAAACACTTTGGAAAACAGCATCTCTTCTGGCTTCCTCATTGGAACATGGACAGTACTATTCAGTTCTCCATAGTGAGAATTTTTCTTTATTTTTTGCCTTAGAAGTGCAGGCTTTTCTCTTAGAAAAATCATCATCAGTTTCTCTGCTTCACCGTAATGTGTTTTGTTATATAAGAAATGTGAGTGGGTCAGTATGCAGACAGTGTTTAAATTCTCTACAGATTGCACAGTTGCACAAACATACACATGGCAATGAGAACAAAATATACCAAAAAAAATAGACTAGTATGCACGTTAGATATTATTAGGCAGAGGCTCTGAAACAATAGAGTACAACAGTAGATCGTATTATTGTATGATCTACTGTACAATATAAAGCGCCTTGAGGCGACTGCTGTAGTGATTTGGTGCTATATAAATAAAATTGAATTGAATTGAATAGATCCCATGGTAATTTTGTGTGAGAACCCATTGTTTGCATAGGATAGGAATGTTTGCATGCAAATATTAGTAAAAATTAAGCCTGATGTCCTTTGGACAGACAATAATAATAAAGTTTGGTCATAAGGCACAGTTTGTGTTTAGAGAAAACTAAACACAGTACAGGAGCACAAATGCCTCATACCAACTGTGAAACACAGACCTGGGCACCTTGCAGTCGTTAAATTAGCCATGAACTCCTCTTTATAAAAAGTTATTCTAGAGACAAATTCTCAAAATGATGATAACTGTCCAGAAGCTAAAACTTGGCCACAATTGGGCCATAGACAAGGGCAACAGCAAATCAAATACAATGGCTCAGTAAAATTCAACTCTCAAGTGGACCGAAGCACTGAAGCACTTTACACAGTTTTTCACAGGACTGTATATTTATGATAATAATTATCTTGAGGAATGGGATGTTGGAATTATTTAAGTACTATAATTCATTTATTTGACTTATTTGTTGTGTATTTTTCAGAAATGTTTGCTCCACTTTATCAGCATAACCTAAAATCTAAGCTGAAGAGGAAGTTCCAGTGTGTCTTTGAGGGGATCGCTAAAGCAAGAAACCCAACCCTTCTCAATCAGATCTACACAGAGCTCTACATCACAAAGGGAGGGACTACAGAGGTCAATCAAGAACATGAAGTTAGACAGATTGAAATAAGAGCCAGGAAACCAGACAGAGAAGAAACAACAATCAGACAAGAAGACATCTTTCAAACCTCACCTGGAAGAGAGAAACCAATCAGAGCAATGCTGACAACAGGGGTGGCTGGTATTGGGAAAACAATCTTAACTCAGAAGGTAACTGTGGATTGGGCTGAAGAAAAAGCCAACCAGGACATCCAGTTCATGTTTCCATTCACTTTCAGAGAGCTGAATGTGCTAAAAGAGGGAAACTTCAGCTTGATGGAACTTGTTCATTATTTCTTTACTGAAACCAAAGAAGCAAGAATCTGTAGCTTTGAAGATTTCAAGGTTGTCTTTATTTTTGATGGTCTGGATGAGTGTCGACTTCCTCTGGACTTCTACAATACAGAAATCCTAACTGACCCTAGAAAGTCCACCTCAATAGATGTGCTGCTGACAAATCTCATCAGAGGTGATCTGCTTCCTACTGCTCGCCTCTGGATAACCACACGACCTGCAGCAGCCAATCAGATCCCTGCTAATTGCATTGACATGGTGACAGAGGTCAGGGGGTTCACTGACCCACAGAAGGAGGAGTACTTCAGAAAGAGATCCACAGACGAGCGACTGGCCAGCAGGATCATCTCCCACATCAAGACATCACGAAGCCTCCACATCATGTGCCACATCCCAGTCTTCTGCTGGATCACTGCTACAGTTCTGGAGGATGTTCTAAAAACCAGAGAGAGAGGAGAGCTGCCCAAGACCCTAACTCAGATGTACATCCACTTCCTGGTGGTTCAGGCCAAAGTGAAGAAGGTCAAGTATGATGGAGGAGCTGAGACAGATCCACACTGGAGTCCAGAGAGCAGGAAGATGGTTGAGGCTCTGGGAAAACTGGCTTTTGATCAGCTGCAGAAAGGAAACCTGATCTTCTATGAATCAGACCTGACAGAGTGTGGCATCGATATCAGAGCAGCCTCAGTGTACTCAGGAGTGTTCACACAGATCTTTAAAGAGGAGAGAGGACTGTACCAGGACAAGGTGTTCTGCTTTGTCCATCTGAGTGTTCAGGAGTTTCTGGCTGCTCTTCATGTTCACCTGACATTTGTGAAGTCTGGAGTCAATCTGATGGAAGAAAATCAAAAAGCCTCCCAGAAATTTAAAACAAGAAAACCTGGAAAGAAACATTTCTACCAGAGTGCCGTGAACAAGGCCTTGCAGAGCCAAAATGGACATCTGGACTTGTTCCTCCGCTTTCTTCTGGGTCTTTCGCTTCATAATAATCAAAGTCTTCTGCAAGGACTGTTGGCACAGACATCAAATAGCTCACGGACAAATCAAATTCTGTCACAATGTTTGTTGACACTGACTGGAAGTAGCTCACAGACCAATAGAAAAGCAGCTCAGTATATAAAAATGAGGCTCAGTAGGAATCTGTCTACAGAGAAAAGCATCAATTTGTTCCATTGTCTGAATGAACTGAACGATCGTTCTCTGGTGAAGAAGATCCAACAATCGTTGAGTTCACAACGTTTTTCCACAGATAAACTGTCTCCTGCTCAGTGGTCAACTCTGGTCTTCATGTTACTGTCATCAGAAGAAGCTCTTGAAGTGTTTGATCTGAAGAGTTACTCTGCTTCAGAGGAGGTTCTTCTGAGATTGTTGCCAGTGGTCAAAGCCTCCAACAAAGCTATGTATGTACACATATACTACAATATATTCATTAATGAATATACTAGTTCTTTTATGAAAATTAAGGCACTGGACATCATTATCATCAAGGTTTGAGTTAAATCATGTTAAGCCCTGGCCTAGGGGAAACCCAAAGCGCAACATGCAGATGGCTCCCCTGCTCCCCGAGGAAAGGTACAGCAGGACTTGTAATTTCAAACACAGGACATTTTATTTCCCTTTAGCCATAGAAATCAGGGTGGGCATTGCAAAAACAATAAACAAAACATTCTAGAAAGGAAACTCAGCAAACATATGTACCTATCACAAGAAGTGAAAGAAAAGAAAGGCCTCTGACCTGTCTTCCTAACCTAAACCTAAGGGAGAAAAAGGCTTTAAAAGAAAAAGGCTTTCCACCCCTACAGCTACCAGATCAATCTCTACAAAAACAAAACATTATTTACAATATATATAAAAAAATAACAAATCTAGCTCTTCTAGATAAAGAAAAACTTCATTACACAATACACAACTAAATACACAGCATGGCCTGATTGGATACTGGAAGTAGGCAGTGCTACACTGGCGGGTTCCAATTTATAGTCTTATTCAGTCTAAAGTCTTTTATATAAATTAATAAGTTTATATCACTTGTTTGTTTGTTTTTTAATATTCTACCACATTTTCAACCAGATATACACGTTTCTTTATATTTCTTTCCATATTTATGTTTCTTCAGACTGAGCAACTGTAACCTTTCAGAGAGAAGCTGTGAAGCTCTGTCCTCAGTTCTTAGATCCCAGTCCTCCAGTCTGAGAGAGCTTGACCTAAGTAACAACAACCTAATGGATTCAGGAGCAAAGATGCTGTTTGCTGAACTGAAGAGTCAGCACTGTACACTGGAAACATTAAGGTCGGATGTGTATGTTTGTATGTGGATATTAGAGAGAGTGAGAGAGACATTGTTTTTACTATTAAATTCATTTGTTTCCAAGACGTAGCTAAAACAAGTGTCTACATATTTATATTATTGTATTTTTTTCAGATTAAGTATGTGCAACCTCTCAGAGAGAAGCTGTGAGGCACTTTCCTCAATTCTTGGAATACATCCCACATCTTTAAAAGAGCTGGACCTGAGCAACAATGACCTGAAGGACTCAGGAGTAAAGATGCTTTCTGCTGGACTGAAGAGTCCACAATGTACATTGGAAATTCTAAGGTAATGTTGTTTGAGAAAATTAACCACTAAGAATTGTTACCAATACAATTCAGAGGCTCATACGCGTCCACAAAACCGAGTTAGCAGGCAATTAAACTTTATATATGTTAGATGTCAGTATAACTAAATTTTGAAGCAGCATATAAGCATTGTTTAGTGGCTGTAGAATTTTGCTCAAAGCATTAATGTGTCTTAACTGTAACACAGATGATCATCTACAAAACATAAATTCACAGTCATTTCTAACTCACCAACTCCCTTCCTCAGTGACTGTTTAATTATATGTTGGAAACAGTTTTCTCTTATATTATTCACAGAAGAAAACAATTCTTTCAGAGAACCTGTGATATGAATTGGTTTATGTGTCTGCAGGCTTTCAGGTTGTTTGATCACAGAAGAAGGAAGTAATGATTTGGCTTTGGCTCTGAGCTCCAACCCCTTCCATCTCAGAGAACTGGATTTGAGCTACAATCATCCAGGATACTCAGCAGTAAAGCTTCTGTCTTCTGGAGTGAAGGATTCACACTGGAGTCTTGACACTTTGAGGTATAGAGAGAGCTGCCGCAACAAATTCATGCTGCAAAACTTGCCAAATCCTCAAAGAAGATTTGGCAAGTTTTTATGGGTGGCTGTAGCTCAGGTGGCAGAGCAGGTCAGCCACTAATCAGAAGGTCGGTGGTTCGATCCCAGGCTGCCTCCTGGCTGCATGCCAAATATCCTTGGGCAGGCCATTTATGGGTGCAACCTCAATTCTCCTCCTTAACCCACAAATACCTTTTTCTTATGGCACAAATATGGTACCATTTAAGGGGAAATCAAATGGTTTTCCATACAAGATTTACTGCCAAGAAGCATTGTATAACAAGGAAATAATCATTTAAATACAAATTTCCTCACTTTTTGTGCTACGTTTAAATTTTCTGTCACCAAAGTGACAGAGAATATATCTGCCATGGGTCAGTACAACAAATAAGAAAAGATGTATGTGAAAACATTTGGTTAACTAGTCTGGATTAGTTCAAATGCTGTGCTCTTCTGCCATCACTGTCTAACAGCATGTGTATGAGAGCGATGTAATCTCCATGTGTGCATGCTGAAAGAGACTGTGCTGGTCTGACCCCCCTCCTCCTTTCAGGGTGGAGCCTGCTGGAGTCCGATGGTTGAAACCAGGTCTGAAGAAGTGTAAGTGTGTTTTTAATGTTCATGAAAAAAAGAAAGCAGCACACATTCAACCATCTTCAAACTGTCACATCACTCATTCACATCTCTGATGTCAGGAGTCAATCAATGAACAGATGTTTATTATGTTTGTTCCCTCCATCAGATGCCTGTGAACTTACAATTGACATGAACACAATTAGCAGAGAACTTCATCTGTCTGACAACAACAGGAAGGTGACACGTGGACGACCATTTCAGTCATATCCTGATCATCCAGAAAGATTTGAACGGCCTCAGTTTCTGTGTCGTGATCCCTTGAGGGGTCGCTGCTACTGGGAGGTTGAGTGGAGAGGATATTCTGATCTATCTGTAAGTTACAGCAAAATCAAAAGGAAAGGAAGAAATAATACTGATGCATTTGGATGGAATGATCATTCCTGGAGTTTGTGGTTCTCTGAAAGTAATCCTTACTGTGTCTCTTACAATAACAAAAAAACACATATCTCCTCCTCCTCCTCCTCTGTGTCTAACAGAGTAGCAGTGTATGTGGACCGTTCTGCTGGCACTCTGTCCTTCTACAGAGTCTCCACTGACACTCTGATCCACCTCCACACCTTCAACACCACATTCACTGAACCTCTTTATCCTGGATTTACACTCTGGGATAGAGCCTCAGTGAGTCTGTGTGTAGTTTAATATAAATAAATATAAAGTAAAAATATACTCAGTTGAATCTGTATCAGAGTACAGTTAAGTCTGTAAATATCTGTCTGTTTCACTTAAACACACATTTTCAGATTCCTGGATTAAGACAAATTTAAAAACTGCTGAGAGACATTCACACATTATTACCTAAAGATGTTTTCGTTCACCCTATTTTTATTCATACTCACTCTTACAATACTGAAATGATAACTATGCTATAACCTGTTTGTGATGTATAAATAACCAGGAAATTATTATTATGTTACAAATTATGTTTACATTTTTTGCAGTTGTAGACAATGTTTCTTGTTTTTTACACCGCACCTGTTTTTTTATAGCATCTTGGTGTTTAAAACAAAATGCTGTGTTATGTTTTTTAGCCAAAATCTGAACAAATTAGAAAACATCTTAAAACTGAGACCTTCGGTTGCCTTTAACAGCCTGTTGACTCGGTTGTTTATAAAGAACCAGGGATCAATTTTATATGAACAAAAAAGAAAAGAAAAGAAATGACAGTTAAGGTTACTCACAGTTACCTTGCCCCAATGTTTAACTTTTAGTCTCTTAATCTAATGTTATCTTTTAAATAAAGTGCACAAATGACTAATATCACCAAATATGTAACTCCACCCGGGGTAACTAGGGACATATCCATACAAGTTCAACCCAAACTTGCCTGAACCTAAGTGGAGGGCTTTTTTCTTTCTTTAAAAATCTGTGAATATTTTACACATTTGCATTAGAATGGCCGATATTTATTTTCCTCCAATGAAATAAATTGTTTCTACTCATTCTTTCTGAGGTTTAAGTAATTAATCCAGCCGAACACTTCTCCACTTCTTATTCTGGCTGGTTTCTGTGATTGAAAGAGTAACAGTGAAAATAATATGTTAAGATTTTTAATTAATTGATGTTGTAATTGTAATTCCAGATCATTTTTCTCACTCACTTATTATTGCATTACTTTATATACTGAAGGTGAATTTATATCAGCTTATTACTTGTTAAATTTTTCAATAAAATGGTGTCATATGACAAAGATCAGCTGTTTGGATGCCTCTGTTTCTCTATTTATCTGTGGCTGCAGCTGCAGACTCTTCCTCACTGATCAGTCTGCAGACTGTTTACTCAAAATATTGATTTGTCTGGTAAATATCAGCAATCGCTGAAAGGTTCCCACTGTTTGTTTTAGCGGGACAACAATACGAAAACTTCAAATAATCTGATTACAGCCAGAGATGATAAAATAAAAACTTCAAAACAGTTAAGAGTTTCAACATGCAGATGATTGGAACATGATTCAACAATTATCAGAACAGATCCAGATTAATTTTCTGGTATAAACGAGAAAACATCACTTCACTGGTTGCTTTAATTCTGTCACAGTATAAACATTGAGACCGAAATCACAGAAGAACCCAGGATCGAGTACCATGCAGTGACCATCAGATTGATCTCTATTCTCTGTCCCAAGTAGAAAAAAATATACCGCATTGCTTTTCACAAAACAAAGGCACCAAACATCAAAGGAACAGCAGAGGCACTAGCGTTACTATTTCTTAGCCTGCCCCACTCCACTTCAGTTTCAGTTTCAGCCTGAACAACAGTCAGTCAGCTTCATTCAATCCAGAGCCAGCAGCATAGTTTAGATTGGAGAAATCCTCATTCACACAAGTTCACTTCAAGAATTATTTTCACGTTGTTCTTTTTAACCTGGTGAACATGGCTCGAAGGGCTAATTTTACATCAGAAAATCAAAAGGATTGACATCATCTGGTTAAATACACACATAACAAATGCATAACTCAATACTCAACAAACCATACACAAGCAAAACATCACAACAGCTTTGTCTCTCTAACCAGATTCTGATCAGG